TGTGGCTGCTGAATCGAGTTGTTGTACTCCTTGCGGAAGCACTTTTCAAAGTTGATGCGGATGTGGCTGTTGTTGCCTGGGCTGGGCGACTGACCACCACCACCTACACCACCACCACAGCTTGATGTCGTGTCCTCTCCATCTGCAAGGAAGAGAGATGGTCTCGTGTTCGATTAGAAGTGCGGTTGCTTTTTTCCAGACACCCGCATCCGTGACGTTCATCGTCTCCTTTTCATTGTCTTTTCACGGTCATGACCCTGGTGGTTTTTTTAAATTTTATTTCATTGGTAATCGGCATTGTGTTTTGTAGAAAAATAATTTACCAGTGTCACACCGCCTTAGAAGAAGAAGAAGAAGACTATATAATTTAATGCATTTTATGATGCTGCAGACTAGAATTTTTATCCACGTATCGCGAGTGTTGAGAAAAATTAATTCAAGAAAAATTTTTGTTAATCATACGTAAGTTTTTATACACCTCATAATTTTTCTTCACAACAATACTTAGTTTATGTATAAGCGTGAATCTGTGCGCACACATAAACACATCATTGGTGATAAATATTCATAAACAGAAAATATACATCATACGGTTTGGTGCGAAACGTGCGAGTACAGCATCATAAAAAAATGCATGTTATAGAAAAATATAGCTTCTGTCGTGGAGGAACGTCATAAATGCGTGATGTATAATAATAAAGAAATAGTGAAGTTTGTAGATTTGCAATGTATAAAAAAAAAATAAAAAAAAAAAGTTTAAAGAAAAAACAGAAATGTATTTGGAAAAAAAATTAAATAAAACTACTTCTTTGTGGGGGAAGCAAGAGGAAGGGTAGAGCCAGCAAGAGACGCCGCGTTTTGTTCTCTAATTTCCATTTAAAATTGAACACATTGGTGTTTTTTTTCTCCTTATCTCAATTATTGTCATCGTCGTCATTAGATTTTTGGTTTTTACTTTCCGATTTCCTCAATACGTATGCATTGAACACTTTTTCTTTAATAAAAACGTGGTATATTTGATTGACATATTTCTCTCGCCACGAAATAATGCTAATAATTTTTTCTATTCTGGTTATCTCTCAATCTAAAGTGTGCGTGTGTGTCTCTGTGGCTGCACAATTAACATAATATTATTTCATTATTTTCTACTCTCTTTCTTTTACATCCTTACTATCAGCCTCATTTTTTCGCATTAAAAATTACATATCCTGATTCCTACAAGTTTTTTCATGTTGAATAGCCATTTTTTTTTATATTTTCATTTAGTGCAGTAACTAATTTTTTGTCCCGTCAACTTCCTAAATCAAGGCCACGCAAGTATTAGTTCACCGATTTTATTTTTTTTTCTTTTTGAACAAAAACGACTTGATCATAACCATAAGAAAGTCGAGAATTGAAATTCGTTTTTGAATACTTGTTGAAGATTTTTTTTTTTTTAGTAGCTATTGCGTATCGTTGCGTCAATGGCGCTGATACAGTATTTCCGGGAACAAAACAACAAAATGGAAAACAAAGCATTCCTCCGACTGAGTAATATCAGAAAAGAGGTCGGTTTTTTTCGAAGTAAAATTCTCCACTGAATGAATATTAGTCGGTTAAATGCGATATTTCACAATCATCAACCAAAAAGCTTTTTTGTACATCAGCTTCGTTAGAACGTTTACGGCGTATTGAAAAAACAATCCAGCAAAAACCGTGGGTCAAGAAAATTAAATAAATAGGAAAAAATTTTCTACGTATGCTAAAGCAAAAGTGCAGAGAGACACACACAGTCACACTTAAGAAACAAAAAAACTATACAAATAGTCTCGCGAGATAAATCAAAATTAAAAAATGGTGAGCTAAAAATCAATGGTAAACCAAATTAAAAAAAGTTTTTGTCAACCCCACCATTTATTATGCAATTCTTTTTTTTCTACTATTTACATATATCCAACGTCCGTAAAATTAAACCGCATCACAAGACGACGATCGACGTTATGTCGATTGAATTAGCAAAAAAATTAATAAATAAATAACGTCGATTTGTCAAGTAACTATTATTCTTTTTATCTTTAACAAAAAGAAGACGGTCTTTTTTCTCAATATTTTTAAAGAACGGCTGGCCTCCCTAGTCCTTCGCTTCCCCGCGCAAAGGTAATATAAGAATTCAAAGTTGACTCAATTCTCAACTCACCTGCTGCACAAGAGAAAAAAGTATATATAACAACAGCATAACACGTGTTTCACTAGATAATCTTACTGACCGATTTTTCGATCTTCGAGCACTCACGACATTTTTTTTCTTTTTTTTTCGTTCACTTGGTGATTACATATTTTATTGTTTATTTAAACTGCGATCTTATATGAAAATAATTCTAGTGTGTATATAATACATATATAGATAATATATATATATATGCGTAAATGAATGTACATATATACATGATGTAAGATAATGCACTTGATATTTTAACTTTTTTTTTCTCACTGTATAATACACATACAAGATCGTAAAGGTATGACCGGATATAATAATTCGAAAAAAAGGCCTGTTGTGCACAGGTGTAAGAAAAAGACAGACAGATTAAAACACATGCCTTCCATTGTCATTTTTCCGATAAATTTTCGCATCCCCTTCATTGTCTGTCGATCGGTCATTAAATTTTAAAATGTTGCTAAACATTAAAAAAAATAGCGATCATGATTAGCAATAAAAATATGTTTGTTTAAAAAGAATAACAAGTTGGTGTGTAAACACACACACGCACACAACCGGGTGTGCACACACAGACGCGCGTATTGCATCATTACAACCAGCGTTTTGAAAAATTTATACACCGTATAGCTGGCTCCACCCCCTCCTTTTACCAGTTTGGCCAATGGCAGCGAAGCGCATTTCGTGTATTTCACACAATTAATTATGCTTATTCGGCAACACACATAAATATACATCATTTTGTGCGAGGGTGTGATAATGAAATAAATAAAAATAATGTACATGTAAATTAATAATAACAATAATCATCATCATCATCATCATCATCATCATCATCATCATCATCATCATCATCGTAATATTATTAATATTAATGAGAAAACAAAAATAAAATTGATGTATAACTCAAAGAATAAATGTATGTATGATGCATGAATGTATAAGTGACACAAATACATAACGATATGTCGAGAAAGGTCCGGTTGGAAAATAAAGTAAAATAATAAATAAATAAATGATGCTAATGATACGGAGGTGTGCTACGCATTGGCCGAGCAGTGAATACATATACATGTATCGTGGGTGTTTATTATTAGATAGCCGTATATTAGCGGTATATATTTGGTTTGTTTAAAAACGTTTTTCACGTACACATAAAAAAAAAAAATTATATATGTATACCGTGTGATATACGGGTGGTAGGTAGAATGTTTGGAGGCTACAGCATTCAAGGGGGTACTTCACTATGTGAATTTAGTGATTACTTAATGTAGTGATTGTTATTTCTCTTTAATTCCAATTATTGTATTACTTGCGTGTGACGTTTCTTCGACCTTTTTTGACTGCTTTAATAATCCGTCGATCTCGTAAATTAAGCAAACATCACTTTCAAGTCCTCTTTCTCTTTATACTTTTGTGGATTATTACAACTGCATAAGTCCACTAAAACTTGCTCTTCAGATAAAAATTGCAGTTTTTTTAAAATTAAGAAAAAAAAATACGTAAAAGAAAGAGAGAGAGGTCTAAAGTGATTATTTTTTATTCCAAAAAAACAAAAAAAAAGCATAAGTCATGATCGACGTTAGAAAAAACAATCAATTAAAAACTAAAGGTAAGTTAACAGACGACATTAAGCGAAAAATCTCGTAGAAGCCGCCGAGTAATTTGACGCAGCGGATTTTTTTTTTCTTTTTTTTTTTTTAATAAGTGGAAAGAAAAAAATAGAAGGACCATATTGTTTCACACACCATGCAATGTAAAGGGAGTAGGCTTGCAGCGTTTTCCTGACAAAGGTACTCCAACTTTGTTTTTAAAACACGCAAAAATGTTGTTTTTATTTTATCGCGATCGTTTTTCATTTTTTTTTTTTTTTTTTTTTTTTTTTAACACTAGTTTTTATTCACTTGTGAAAATTTTTTCGTTTTGCACTACTCACGAATATCTATTTCCACTTTTCATGCACTTTTTTTGGTTGACTAGATTTTGAAAAACCGTCATCGTCGTTCAACGATTCAGACGATCCCGCATATAGCGGCAATTGAGCGGCAATATCTGCCGCTCACCATCGAGCATAAATTAAATTTTCAATAAGTACCCTCGAAAATTTATAATCCCACGTTTCAGGAAAAATGTAAAAAAAAAAAAAACCACTCAAAGTCTGTCGTCGAGACAAACGATGCGTGATACAAGATCTCTCGAAGTAGTAGGTATAAGTAACACTCGTGAGGAAGAAAAAATCATTTAGACATATTACCCTGTACAGTAGAACGCATGATTAGCAAAATGCACTGATAGAGGAATAAATGATAAGAAAAAAAAAGAGATAACTTGTTATTGGTTAAAACAGGTCACAAAAAAAAGGAGATCGTTAAAAACCGCGTGGAGTCATTGTATGTAGGCAGGACAAGGTTGTTTAGCAGGTATCTGTCTTACCTTGCTTGTAACTTTCACTCCCTTGTCTACTGAGCGGCCGCGTGAATGACTCGTCTTTAGCTAGAAGTAGAAAGAACAAAATCCATCATCGTTCAAATATTTATTCGTCCACTAACTTGTGCATCAAAATGCGCTACTCGTCTACTCTTGATTTGGAAAAAAAAAACAATGTAGAATCACCGAATCAGGGGATAAGATTGTGTGCGTGAGTATACGCGTGCTTGAATAAATATTTCAACGTGAGTGAATTTTGTTTCGTTTCTACTTCTCCCTCCAACGATAAAATCTCTCCCAAAAAAAAAACAACTCATTTTCATATGGCAATATGGTAGAATAAAACAAAGCATCGTCGTCCAACAAAGACACTGACCTTGCGCCGAAGTACCAGGCGTGGGTTCCGGCTCGCCCTTGATCCTCAAGAGCATGGCCTCGGTGGCCTCGGTCCCGTTCTCCATGGGCTCGGCGTCCCTCTTGGCCGCGCCGCTGCTCTGATTGTTGTGGCTCGTGTTCGAGCCCACGCTCGAGCTCCCGGCGCTGCTGTTCTGCGCCGCCTCGCTCTGTAAGTCCAGGCCCATTTTCAGCTCCATCAGCTCGGGCGAGCCCTGCAACAGTTCCGAGCACTGCTGGTCGTGGCCCAAGCTCGTGTCCATCGGCGTGTCGGACGAGCCGCTGAGCTTGCGCGGCCTACCGCGTTTTCGCTTTGGCGCCGACAGCGCGGAGCCCAACATCGGGTGGCTCGACATCTGGTGGTGGTACCTGCGATACCGAATGACAATCTGATGGTTAATTGGCTCCGATACACGGGGAAAAACCCATTTAATTTATTTTGAAAAAAAAAAAAAAAAAAACAACGGCACGGTGTGCACGTATCCGCACCTCTTTTGGGGCAATTGGTGCTGCCCGAGCTGGTTGATGCGGTGTAGATTGGGCGGCGGTAGCGGTCCGCTGTTCTGATTGGCGAGGAGGGACGAGGTGATGCTAGGCAGGTCGCACTTGTCCTCGTTGACCTCGGTGAGGCCCTTGATGCGCAGGGACTCGGCGACGCGGAGAAAAGCGGTCAATCGTTCCTGGTCGACGCTCACCTCGCCACGGTACATAAAGTCCAAAAGGCTGCGCATGTCCGCGTACGGCACGTCTTTCAGTATGACGATCGGGTGCTTGTCCGGGTGATTGGTGAACAACGCCTAAAAAACAACCAAGGGTTTTACATTTGGTTTAACCGCGGGCAGTTGTACACGTGGGTGGGTACGTGTTACATGATGCTTTGTACGGCAAGCTTAGTATTGGTCGATTGCCACTCTGGAGTGCAATCCAATGTGGATCCAGCCGTATGCGTTTGCTGTTCCTCGTGTCGCGAGAGTCTCCCTCCGATCGAAACGGAGGGGCTCGAAAAATGGACAACGAGGGGTGGAGTGTAGGTATGTACGATGGAAAGGAAGAAAGAGGGCGTGGTGTCTCACCTGAAAGTAGGGACTGCAGGCCGAGAGCACCATCTTGTGGGCCTTGAGCAGTTGTCCCTCGACGGCGAGCGTGACGTCGACGAAGGCCTCGTCGTGGAGCAACTGGTCGAATACGGAGAGCAGGTTGCTCTGGTGGTTGTTCCAGCGTAGGCAGAACCTCTGCGACGCCATCGCAGCTTCGCTTCTCAGATCCGCCAGGTTGCCGTTTATGTCCGCTAACATGGGACCCGATTTCGCGTCTCTGATCTTGTTACTCTCGGATCTATCCACTTTGCTACTCCTCCTTCTCACCTTTCTACGCTCTTTTTTCTTTTTCTTCTTCTTCTTCACCCCCTCTTATCTCTTATTATCACTATTGCGTTTTTTTTTATTTGGCTGTTTTCGAGCTTTACTGCCTCTTTTGCTCCTAAGGTCTCCACTTTCGCGTGTTTAGCTATTATCAACAGATGATTGCTCCTATCACGATCTGACTTGATTGAATGATCTGAAACAAAAAATCGATACTACTGTTAGTACATTGTCGAAAATATCAATTGGCATTTAGAAGAAGAAAAAAAAAACAGAGTAATGCTAGAAAGTGGTATGTTGGAATGAAACATTGGTAAGAGATTAGCGCTGAGACAGCTCGGAAAACTGGCCAACGTGTCGGCACGTGGAAAAACCTTGCCGAAAGAAGAGGAGCTAAAGCGACTCAAGCGGAGAAATAAGTAAGGCTCATCCTACTCGATGTTTTCATTGTGTGCACGTACGTAGAAATCTCCGAAAGATAAAATATTGAAACTCCCCGGGGTAATCGGTAGAGCTTTTCGAGAGCTTGCAACTTTCCTCCCACGTAACACTTTCATGACAACCAAGTGAACGGAACTAGTATATATTTTGCAATTGAAATGGGGGACATTCAGGTGTATAGCTAGGGAAATACTCCACCTCTTTTCAAATCACATTTTCTACAGACTCCTGCATAAACGTACGTACGAGCACGCAGCGTCGTGCGATGTCGCTCAGGATTCCGGTCTCTGTGTGAATAATATGGCAATTTAGTGTTTACTTTTTTTTTTCTCTTTCTTTCTCAACCAGGCGAGTATACATAACTCGAATCTGTGTGCACCAAAGACCCAGGAATGTCTCAATCTTTACATTACGAGGGAGAGGGGGAGGAAGGTTCGGCAGACCTCCGACTCGTAATGTTATCGAGGGAGGGGTAGGTGTATATGTTTGTAATTGGTCTAAAAGACACTCAACTCTAGTGGTTACATTAATTTTGGTTGCTGCTGATCATAGGTGCTCGAAAATTCATACGATTTGGAATATCTAAGCAATGATTTAGACGTATGTTTTGTCAATCATAGCGAGTATAGATTGTGCATGGTAATATTTCGATTCATAATTAATTTTATACGTATAGACACACAGCGGATATTAGGTGAAAAAAAAAAAAAAAAAAAAACTCAAACAGCAATCACCGCGATGATGTCACCACAATAACAAAGAAAATCGTTGATTATGTGTAGATCAATTCCCGCTATTGATTACAACCTTATATGTGAACTGTCATTATCACCGAGCACGTGTCACTCTCTTTAAGCTATTTTAAATGTATCATTATAATCATCGCGCAAACGATTCAACAATGCATTTTACTACGAGTATATAGGTACCTCAAACGATGATGTAGAGTTTCGATAATTTTATATAAAATATAATTGTTGTCATAAGGTTTAAACTTGAATACTCATTTGTCACAACTATTCCATAAAAGCTAGTGCAGACGTACTTGACAGAAGCAGCGGCTTATATGTATATCAGCGATCCGGATAGGTAATGAGCTGAAGCGTAGTGCACGGGGATATTTGTCCGGTAGAAGGTGTATGGGTGAGAGACGAGTCCCTGACAACAGGATTACGTCACACTCGGCGAGTTTAGTGAGAAGGTGTTACACGCGAAGGAGATCGACGCGCTCTTCTCGGGGTAATCGTGTCGGGTAACGGTGCCACTCATTCCCCCTATCCTGCCTTCTTTCTCCGCCAACGGTATAACTCAAAGAGAGAAGGAATGCACTGCTATACGCACCGACAGAAGAGGAGGAAGTGCGACTTATCGGAGCTTGCGGAGCTTTCGATTTCGAGTGCGTTCGATCTCGCGAGGCAGGTGGCGATGGAAAATGAAATGGCACCCACTGCAACAAGCCAGTATCAAACGCGACGGCGACTCAGGGAATAATAATCGAATGCAACGGAGCGGGGCAACTGAGGGGGAGAGAGCTTGATGAACAATTTAGTGGAATCGCCGTGAAAAACAAGGGCAAGGAGGGGAAGAAGAGGTGGCTAGGAAAACCAGCTGCCGTTGCAACAACTCGCGGAAGAAATTTCGTAACGGGAACCACCACCATCGTCGGCCTCCCCTTTTCTTCTTCTTCCTTTGCAAACGACCTGCAACGGTATCACGGATGGTGTGCTCGCGGAAGGGGAGAAGAGGCAGCCGCTGAACTCCGCGAAAGTGGAGAAAGGCTGCCGCGTGCGAGCACTGCTGCTGGTGTGTTTCTTTATGGCTGTTGATACTCGGGAGGAGGAAAGCGCCGTGTATATACCGTTTTGTCGCGAGTCTTTCGCCGTGTGTGTGGAGGTTTCGTTGTTTGGGCGCACTCCAGACGAGGACGCGCGGCTACTTTGCTTTTCTCCCGATGACGTATAGCTCGAATGCCGTTGTGGATATCGGGGCTGTAGGTGCTGATCGTCGCTGCCAATGTACACGCCACAATAGAAATGAAGAGAGTCCCGTGCAGGATGAAGAAATTTAAAAATTTTCGTAAAGGTAATTTAATGATAGATATGTAGCTTGGGCACAAAGAAAGAAAATTTTATCGTAACGTGTCTACGAAGAAACGTCCAAGCTGGTACATGCAAGATACTAATGTACCATTGTGTGTGGATTCCAGTAAAATGCTTGAAATCGAAGTAGTCGTCGTACATGTTTCAGCGCCTACTGCGTCGCATCATTAAAATACACTTTTGAGAAATTAAACTTTCGGAATAGCTTCGTTATCGGAGGGACCATTTACTGAAACGCACAAACAACAACAACCACCGAAATAATTTTCTTTGTTTCTCCGCTCGATGAAATTCGTTCCTCGAAATACATTCCGAGCATTGCCTGCCGATGATCGTCATACATGAATATTTCGAACTATACAGCAAAGAGTAACACAGTACAGGGAAAGAAAAAAATATTTTAAGAGGGGCCGTAGAGAAATCGTCACTTTTGTTTTTTTTTCCCACCCCATCAAACGCATTTTTTTTTTCTTATCTTTTCATCCCTCGGTGAGAGCCAGAAATTTTCAGAGGGTGCCGTGTCCTTCGAATCGATATTCCCTTTTACACTGACTGAATCCGTGAAAACTCACGCGTTTTTCTTCCCCTACACATACCGATCGATACTATGCATAAAGCACAAAGCATGTACGTATATACAAGGGGTTTCCTAAGTAATACCGCCTATACGGGAAAAAAAACTCTCCACCTTTATACATTATAATGGAGCTGCGAGTCAATTTTCACGGAGCTCTCGAAGACTCGTTTTGCCGGACGCGGGCAAGTGGGACGCGGGAGATCTGTCGGTCGTTTCCCTCTGTATAGTTATACCTGTGGACTATAGATACAGTAGTTGAGATGGTTTTCAAGAACGTGTGAAAATTACTTATGCTCGAGTCGGAGCATTGTCCTGCCCGACGCTCGTCGAAAGAGCAAGTTCCCTATACCGATAGGAACCAAACCCATTTTTTTTTCTTTTTTTTTTTTTTACTATACCAATGACACGTTTCTCTACACTAAACGCTCTTCGGCACGTTACTGATATGAAAACCAATGCATATACGTATAGTGTCATGTATACACGAGCGAAAGAAGAAAAAAAGTCTGCACGTACGCAGAACCAAAGACACATGCAACGTGCCCTTAAAACCAACCCCTATACAGTATTTTAGGCACGACGCGACCACACGAGAGTCTCTTACTTGCTGATGCGGTGGGTATATGTATAGCATGTAAGAGCGATAGGGCACGATGACACAGACAGAGAGAGAGAGAGAGAGAGTAGGTCTATAGCCGTAGCCCGGCTCAACGAACCCAAGAGCGACGGTCGTCGTATCAGCCCCGAGGGGATTTGCATACAGACCGAAGCTATGATATACCTACCCCAGAGGAGGCCGTTGCACTCTGTCGCGAGTGAATTGAGGCGTGTCGCAACGCTGCAAAGGTCAACGCGACCCAACACCCTCTTCGCGGGGGTTTTCCAACCTTTACTCACCCCCCATCTTATTTTCTGTACAGTCTAGGGGAGTTTTGACGAGCTTTTTTTTCGACAGTAGGGTGATTAGATATTTTTATGCTGCTTGGAATGTACTACGATGAAAAAAAAGTCACTGAAAGATATTTTCTTTAGGAACTCGCTACTTTCGCACCTTCCGTGTTTCAAGCAAGCAACCATTTTTACACTTTACTCGTGAAAAATAGACGTACTTAAGTGGGTACGAACATCAACACTGACTCATTACTGAACCGTTTAATGGCACACATTGTAAGTATAGGTATACATTATAGTGTGGGGGATGAATACACTATGATTTAAAAAAAAAAAAAAAAAAAAAACCGTTTTGGCGATTGAGTACGGCGATTTATTTGATTGTAAAGATTCATCGTAATGTTCATGATGTACATAAGCGTGAAGAAGAAAAAAATAAAACACGTCGATAGTTACGTAATAATCGAACGGACGGGCATTAAACCGCGTGTTACACTCAAACATCAAGTATACAAATATATATAGCGAGTACCTATTCTTGAAGAAGAAGAAGAAGAAGACGAAGAAAAAGAGCGGGAGAAGAAGCGGAAGGTAAACACAGTTGGTAGACACGTCGACGTGTTTTCACGTCATCGTTATACATATATATTGTGGTGAAGGTATGCCCGCCATGTGCTCGCTCTGGCAATGCATTGCATTCCAAGGTGAATAATATTCGCGCTTTTCCAACAAAGATTCATCTTTGACATCGAACCGATTGAAGGATGGAACTCGTGGCTCAAATACCGCGAGTTATTGTTACTTTTTTTTTTTTTTTTTTTAGAAAAGAAGTCGCTGATTCTTTTGTATTTTCTGTCCTTAGTATCTTCTCCAACTTTTCGTTATTTACTTTATACGTCAGTTTCGTGCGTATATAGTCCGTGAATAAAATGACTGAAGATTTTTTAAAAAAAGGAACACGACTCGTCTTTTTAGTATATAAAATGCAGTATCGAACAGAAGCTAATGTTAGGTATTTATTTTATTGTTAAGGAAGATATGCGGATAAGGTACACGAAACAAAAACTTTTGTTGAGGAAAAAAAAAAAAGAAACAATACTTCGAGTTACTTACAGATGCCTGATGAAACGCGGTCAACACTGGACGTCCGTTATACAGCACTGATGTCGATGGAAATGTAAGAGAGTA